CAAAAATTAAGGTTTTGAATGAAGGATGATAAGGAGCCTGGAACTCTTTAGCCCAGTTGCCAAAGCTGGACTGGAGTCTCTCCAGAACTCGTCCACTTGACCAGACTTTTCTCCCAGAGGTATCGTCCCCTCTGCCTGCAATGTGATTTATATTGCCTTTCCAATAGCACTTGCAGCTGTCAGACCTATCTCTCTTGATTTTTATCCCAGGGCTAGAGAGATCGTGCATCCAGCTAACAGCTCCAAAGACTCTGTTACTGGGATCTCTAAAAATCCACATAGGACACAAAGTTCAAGAAGGAACAAACATGCAAAGCCTTATTTATTTATTTTTTTACTTGGGACTAGCCCATACGATCATTACGTTCAGATTGGTGTGACACTCTCAAATAAATACATAAAACCAAATCATGTGAAGAAACATACTGGCTCTCATAATAATACATAAACATTATAATAATGGGGTGGGGAAGACAATAACTAGCATGAAATATCTATTCTGCCTACAGAAACCATAAAATGCAAATCTACCTGAATATGCATGTAACAGAACTATGCTTATGCCTATACTTTTGCCTGGACTTAATTAACAATGCTGCTGGATGTGTTAAACAGAAACCAAATGGCTAGTTTTCGTGTGAATATTGCTACGGTAACATACAGCCCAAAATACCGAACATCAGACCACCCAGGGGAACAGTTAATTGCTATTTTACCTCCCAGTGATTGTGGAGCCGTTGGCATGGTTCATACGAATCCCTTTGTGCTCAGGTTAGATGGCCGCCATTTCGGGACTTTACATGTGTTCGCGGCCATCTTACGCACGAACGGCGGTGTTTGCCTGTGAACGCATGGAACTAAAAACGGATACGCAAACAGGCGAACACCGCTGAGACCTCCAGGAACTCGTAAGTTCGTGCTGGAACTACCGAACGACTGGCCGTTCGGTAGTTTTGTTTAAGCATTCATGGGGATTCAGGCGAACACCAGGATGACTGTGGATGGCAAGGGGTTCGTGGGGTTTTTATGCACGAACAGAGACCGACCGCAAGGCCAAAACTTATGGAACTCTTTTCGGCTAGAAAACCTGTGCGGTCGGTCAAAACTTCAAAGATCCATAACTCCCGAACCCCTCAATCGAATGGGCTGAAATTTTGATATATTGTTCCCCTGAGTGAGAGCTATTAAGCGGTGCTGGACTTAAAGGTGTACCCCCTATTTTTGGGGTACATCCAGACAGGGCCGGCGCCACCTGTAAGGCGACCTAGGCAGCCGCCTAGGGCGCACCT